GGGATGGTTTCCCTCTGCTCCCATTGGATGCTCTGTTCCCTTGAGACTTTCATCCTCCTTAAGAGCACTGGGGCTCTCAGACTGGAGGTGGGACAGTACTACAGTGTCCCGGAAAGTCTCATCAACATAGCTCTCTACCTCTCTTAGCTCCTCCAGTTCAGCCACCCCGGCCTCCAAAGCCCGAACTCGGTCTCTGAGGGTCAGGAGCTCCTTGCAATGGGTGCACACATACGCCACCTGCCCACAGAGCAGGTAATCATACATGTTACACTCAATGCAATAAATAGGATAGCCCCCACTCTGCTGCTGGGCTTCTGTCTCCGTTTTTCTTATGAATAAGTTTAAGTATAAACTGGGCTTATTAAATATCTGGAATATAGATTATTATAAAAGTTATGTTTAAAGAAGGTCAGAAGTAACTAGTGCCCTCTAACCTCCCCCTCTGAAATCCCTCTACAAACTCCCTGTTGGCTGCTCCTTTTCGCAAGCCCTGGTAGCACCTCCCCCTGAATGAGGCTCAGCCAATTAACAGAGGCTGCTAGATTTCAAACCTTTTAGAAGCTCCTTCAAACAAACAAACAAACAAACCAAACAGACAAACACAAGATCAGCACACAGCAAATAACCCCCCCACACACAAACACACACTACAGACAGCCACTTACCACAAGGGTCCCATATTTACTCCTCTTTTACCTGGAGAACTCCCTCTCCAAACTCCCTGTTAGCTGCTCCTGTTCGCACCCTAGATTCACACAACACAATCCATTTGGCTAAGACAAGATCATAAGATCTAAAATAGTTTTAACACTCTCACTCTTACATACATACTATTCTTCAGCAGTCTGGTTAATATTTTTCATAGTATTCTGCATCTCTGTTGTCCTGCCTCAGCCAGTTATGTCTGTATGTATTACACTTTTGCTTTTGCCTCCATTTCTTAGAAGTATTGCCATGGCCACATTAACCCTATCAAGGTCTTGACCTGTCTGGGACTCCTGGAACATTTTAAATTTAAAATTGGCAATGGGTTTGCATAGAATCATAGGCTACATCTACACTGGCCCCAAATTCCAGAAAAGGCATGCAAAGCAGGTAAGTCAGAATAGGGAAATCTGCGGGGGATTTAAATATCCCCTGCGGATTTAAATAAACATGTCCGCCGCTTTTTTTCCGGCTTGGGGAAAAGCCGGAAAAAAGCGACTAGACTGGCGCGATCCTCCGGAATAAAGCCCTTTTCCGGAGGATCTCTTATTCCTACCTGAAAGTAGGTCTGGAAGAGACCTCAGGAGGTCATCGAGTCCAGCTCCCTGCCCAAAGCAGGACCAATCCCAACTAAATCAACCCAGCCAGGGCTTTGTCAAGCCGAGACTTAAAAACCTCCACCCCCTCCCTAGGTAACCCATTCCCGTACTTCACCATCCTCCCAGTGAAATACAATAAAACTCCAATAGTCTGGCATCCAGTTGTCTGGCACTCCTGATAGTCCGGCATCAACTGGGACCCGGAAGTGCTGTGGGGGAAATCTTGCTCCCCTGGGGTACAGAGCCCCCAGAAGGGTCCTAGGCAGGAGGTCAAATCAGTGAGGCAGGAGAGAAATCTAGAAGGAAAAACTTTATTATGCATGCATGCAGGCTGACAGCAGAGCAATAGCAGTCAGCCCGGAGAGACAGTTTCAGGGATTCTTTATACAGTATGTTCAGACAGTAGTTGTTGATTGTTTTTCTTTAACATATCCAAGTCTCAGCAGAAATACTCTGAGATGTTTTTGGTCACACCAAGAGTGCTAGAAGTAAGTTTTACAGTACACAAAGCCACATGAGAACTTGAGTGGAAGAGTCTACAAGGCAAACTGTGACAAAGATAAAGGTTTACATGACAAATTGTGACAGACTAGGAGTATTCATGAACTTGAGATAGGCATTGTAAGGGTCTTGGTTAGAGTTAATTTGATTTCACTCTGATACAGGGAGAGAGGTCTCGAAAACTTTTAACCCTTACAGCAGTTTTCTTTCAGAGAGTTTTGATTTCCTGCACAGTCCCCCCTTTAGACACAATTGGAGTTATGTGATTTTTCCCCACAGTGCTCAGGTCAGCCACTCTCACGGCCGGGCCGCTGTGAGTCACATGCGTGTTCATGGCCTGTGCCGTTCCGCTCACAGTCCCCAGCGCACACAGCGTCCAGCTTGCACATGCTAGCAGCCGGCTGCTGAGCACAGGCGGCTGCTTTGGAACCCGGACATAAGGTTGGGGGATAAGAGGGATTGTGTGACAGCAGGGAGGGGAGGTGTTTGGCTCTGCGGAAGGGAAAACGAGGGGAGGGGGATTGGGTTGCACATGGCATCCCAGCCAGCTCATTGAAAAGCCAGCCGCTCAGTGCACGTGCCCCAGCACCTGGAAGGAGACGCGTGGCTGTACCAGCAGCTCCGGGACCCGAGCATAAGGTGTGTGTGTGGGAGGGGGGCAAGGGTGAATAGGTTGGGAGTATGCCCCCTTATAGTACCTCCTGGTACTCTGGCATATCCGATAATCCGGCACCATCTAGGTCCCAAAGCTGCTGGATTATCAGAAGTGTACTGTAGTTTTTCCTAATATCCAACCTAGACTTCTCCCACTTTAACTTGAGACCATTGCTCCTTGTTCTGCCATCCGTCACTACTAAGAACAGCCTCTTTCCATCCTCTTTGGAACCTCCCTTCAGGTAGTTGAAGGCTGCTACCAAATCCCCCCTCACTCTTTTCTTCCGCAGACTAAATAAGCCCAAATCCCTCAGCCTCTCCTCGTAGGTCACGTGCTCCAGCTCCCTAAGTATTTTGGTGCCCTCCGCTGGACTCTCTCCAATGTATCCACATCCTTTGTGTAGTGGGGGGCCCAGAATTGGATGCAATACTCTGGCCTCACCAGAGCCAAATAAAGGGGAATAATCACTTCTCTAGATCTGCTGGCAATGCTCCTCCTAATGCAACCTAATATGCCATTCGCCTTCTTGGCTGCAAGGACACACTGTTGACTCATATCCAGCTTTTCATCCACTGTAATCCCCAGGTCCTTCTCTGTTTCATCCATACCCTGTGTATTTTACGTTTTATTACAGTGATCACATAGCTCTATATGCAGAGAAAGGATACATTTTCTAGAAGAGAACTGATCTCTTAGATAGATGATTCATATTTATCCTTATAATAACTAAGAGGGGGAGATTACTTTTATTCTCTTGGGTGCTTGAATCTATGCCTTCTTTTGATTTTAATGGAAAGGTTAAGTGATCCTTGTTTGTTCTTATTGTTCCTTAGTAGGAGTTTTTCTGCTAACAATGCAACTTTTGTCTTCTCTTTCTGAATAAATCAGAGCAGAATCAATGGCCTGATTTTTTTAAAGAGCATAGCACCCTAAATTCAGTGTTATATCAGAAGTAACTGGATACTGGTGTCTTCTGAAAATCTTGCCCTCAGCTACAAGGTTTAGGACAGTCCTTCAGAAAAGAATATAAATCATAAAGTCACTGTAGAATCCTTTTAATTTCTACCAGGAAAATAAATGTCTCATTTCCAACAGGTCTTTAATCCAAATCTTTCAGTGAGTGAATGGAATCTGACTGACATGGAAACCAATTTTTCACCGGTAAGGGACGCGTATTTGTTTCTGTGTGAAAACAATACTGTAGACGTAAAACAGCATTTCTCATTCACTAATGTACCAGCTCTGTTGAGAATAAATCATTGTTTTATTTGAAATGGGAGGAGAATTTTACAGTGGTTAAGCATCTACCCAGGGCTGAACCTTAGAGCACCAATATCTTTACATGTGACCCAAACTAGATTTGAACCTCTAACTAAATTCCCACAAAAAATAAATCTAAGCTCATTGGGTGGACTAGTTGGCATAAGGAAAATGCGGTGTGCTGGAATCTGAGTTCTCTTTTATGTGGTCTTCAGTTGAAACCAGCTGCCAAAGTACCAGTCTTTGTGTTGAATTTCACCCACTGCTAATTAGCTTTTAATTTGGAAAATTGGTTTAATTACAACATCGTTTAAAAGGAAGAAAGAGTATCTCAAATGCAAATAGTGCCTTTTATTTGAAAGTCTTTATATGTCATTGCTCAAAAGCAAAAACACACAGCCATGCAACACAACAATTAACATGTAGAACATGGGTTCCCAAACTGGGGGGCGTGAAGAAATTCCAGGGGGGGTGCGAGGAGACCCATCCCCCCGCCCCCATCAAGTTTTGCTGCCCCAGTCTTGTATAAACTTGCCTTGTATAAAAAAGGCAAAGGGGGCACGGGCAGTGAGGGAAGGGGGAGGCGCCAGGAGGGTGCAGGGGCAAGGGAAAGTGCAGGTGCCAGGGGATTCTGGGGGTGAAGCAGAAGGGCAGACACCTGCAGGGGAGGGACCAGCACCAGAGGAGTGAGGCAGTGCAGGTGTGTAGAGGGAGGTATTAGGAGAGGGGATGAGGAGGGGTAGCTCACATGATCAGAGTGGGGCTACTGGAGGAGTGGGCACAGGGCGGAGAGAAGGGCTGGCGGAGGGGGGCAGGTCTCAGGAAGGCAGAGGGCAGTGAGAAGGGTAAGAGTCAGGACAGCAGAGGAGGGTGAAGGTTTGGGGGGGCAGCAGGCACCAGGGGAGCTGATGGAGCAAAGGGAGGAGACATGGCAGCAGAGAGAAAAGGTAGAGGTTTATAAGATATTTATTTATAACTTGGGTGATATTTATTAATAACTTATTAGTAATTACTGTTCTTATTCTTATTAGGAATTTATGCTATTAAAAAAACACTTTTTGTGGGGGAGGGTGGCGAGTCCCTTTTTTGTCTAGCGAGTAGGATTTTCCATAATTTGTCGACCCCTGGCTATTAGCCAGTATGGATAAGGAGTGGTGTCAATAGCCTCTGTTTGTCAGAGGGTGGAGATGGATGATAGGAGAGAGATCACTTGATCATTGCCTGTTCGATTCACTCCCTCTGGGACACCTGGCATTGGCCACTGTCAGCAGACAGGGTACTGGTCTGGATTGATCTTTGGTCTGACCCAGTGTGACCATTCTTATGTTCTTATGTTCCTAAGAGTTATACCTCCAACAACAACTTTAACTTGTTTCCTGGCACCGTCCAATGTTACACATTAGAAAACACAAGAGAACTCTTGGAATTGTGAAAAAAAAGCTAGAAAATAGAAAAACCTTTGTTTGATGCATATTGTATTTGGCTTTAGATAAGGATCCTTAGTTAGATGGTATAATCAGATTGTGAGAGAGAGAGAAAGATTCCTGTTATCTTAGCAGCTAACTCTATTAACCCAGCTAATGATTTTAACCATCATTAGGATTCTCTTAAAATAAAATCACTCCCCATCTTTGAGGTACTATTTTTCTCCTTCCAAAGTTCATCAGAAACAAGTGGGAGTAGGCAGGATCACTCCTTCCCACCCCAATTGGCTATAATTGGCAATCTCTATTGGTCCTGTGTTCCACATGGACTAGAGAGGCAGAGGAGAAAGAAAGGAACCACATGCAAATTATTGATTGACTGATTGATTAAAAAATTTCCTCAAGGACATCTCATATTTGGTGCTGGATAGGTCTGTCAAGTATGGAAAACAAATCTAGACAACCCAAGGTTTATCATTCAGGGGTAGGGGACCTTTTTTCTTCAGCTGTTTCAGGGGGTAGCTGAGTTAGTCTGTACAGGATAAACTTAAAGAACAACAAATGGTCCGGTAGCACTTTATAGACTAACTAAACATGTAGATGGGATCATGAGGTTTCGTGGGCACAGCTACTTCAGTCAGGGTCAACACAGGAGCACCTAATTTGGAGAATAGGATGGGGCTCAGGACAGGAGGCTGGGGGGCAGGGTCTGGGCAGAAATTAGCGTGCGGGCTCAGGGCTGGGTTGGGGTTCGGGGTCAAAGGTATGGGAGTTAAGGTGTGGGAGGCAGTTCAGGATGGGGGTGCGGTGTCTGGAAGGGACTTAGGGTATGTCTACACTAGCCCCCTAGTTTGAACTAGGGTGGCTAATGTACGCATTCGAACTTGCAAATGAAGCCCGGGATTTAAATATCCCGGGCTTTATTTGCATGTTCCCGTCCGGTCGCCATTTTGAAATCCCACTAGTCCGAACTAGCTGCCCACGGCTGCACGCAGAAGTCAAACGTTAATTCAAACTAACTCCTACTCCTCGTGGAACTAGGGGGCTAATGTAGACCTACCCTTTGAGTATGGGAGGAGGCTCAGGATGGAGGCACGGGTGAGGAGGGAGTTAGGGTGTGAGAGGAGGCTCAGGGCTCAAGCAGAGGGTTGGGATATGGGGTGCTTATCTGGGACAGCTCCCCTTTGGTGGGGGGTAAGCAGGTGTCTCAGCACAGCCCAGGATGCCCTGCACCCGCCTGCAGGCAGTGCCCCTCTGGCAGCTCTCAGTGACTTGGGAGCTGCGGGAACAGAGCCTTCAGCAGGTACTTCCCTCCAGTGAGTGCAGTAAGGCTGTTCCAACCCAGCCAGGGGAACGGCAGCTCATGGAGCTGCCACCCCCCGTCCCCTCCCGCCAAACAGGGCCGGATAACACAGGAGCTTTAGGGGCTGCAGCCCCAGACTAAGGCGGCCTCACAAAACAATCTGCATTTTTGGCAACCCAAAGATCTTTTTGCTTGGGGCCCCCCTTAGCTTGGGGCTCTGGGCTACAGCCCCTAAAGCCCCTTTCTTAAAATAGCCCTACTTGTGGTGGGAATGGGATTGGGGTATTGACACTTGCACTCTAGCCCCATGCAGGGCACTGAGGCTCAGGGCTTCCGGCTTATGGGTCAGAGACTTGCTGAAGCCCAGATTAGATTAAGCAGAGGCTGGATCTGGCACACAGGCCAGAGGTTTCCCACCCTGGGTTTAGGTAGCCTGGAGCATGACAACATGATTCCTCTTGTGTACGTAATTTTGCTTATTAGAACAGACACCAGCGGGATGGACCAGCAAGACAGTGATAATAAATTGTATTGCTTGTCTAAACTCTCTGTTATCATTTGCTATATTAATGATCTTCACAACAGCCTAGTTCTAACCATCTCCCCGTCTTTGTATAATTGTACATTGTAGTTTGTGTTTTTGCATCAAGATGCAGCGTCTCACAGTGGATCTGGAGAAGAATGTAAATGAGCTGTCTCCCAAGGTGTTAAATCCTCACTTTAACACCCTCTCCCCAGGTACCAGCAATAGGTGTTTATGAAAACACAGAATGGGAATTCACTAATGAAGCTAATGTTTAAGCAATTCTAATGGCTAGATGAAATGTCCAGGATGGATCCTTTAGCAGACCAGAGGCTTATTATAGTAATGTAACTTTTGTGTTTCAATTTAGTGATTATTACTCAACTAGCCAATTAGCCGGTCATAAGACAGGATTTTCAGGTCTCTCCTCCACATCTCTTGCTCCGTCTCTCTCTCTCTCTCTCTCTCCTCCTTCTACTGCCTCCCCCCCTCCCCACCCCACTCAGCTCTCTTCTGCCTCCTGCCTCTCTCTCTGTCTCTTTCTTTCTCTTGTCCTCCCCTCCTGCCTCTCACTCAGGGGACCGCAGAGCCCAAACGGCCTGGAGCCGCTGTCACGCCGCACGTCACCGCCCTGCCCCCCTTCGCCTCCTGCCGTGGCGCTCAGCTGACATCTGCACTGCTCAGCCAGGCTGCATGGTGAGCACGGGGCCCAAAGAGCCACTTGAACCACTTGACGGGAGGCGAAAGGGGGCAGTGACCCCACACGTCACCGCCCCACTCACACTTCTCTCATGAGCCCACCCCTCCTCCCCCAACAGCCACTTGAGCAGTTTGCTCCTACACAGCAGCCCAGCTGAGCAGCGCAGAAGTCAACCAAGTGCCACGGCAGGAGGTGAAGGACATAACGGCGGTGACATACATGGCCAGGCCCCACTTCCTGGGTATGTACATCACTGCCCTGCCCTCCTTCCCCTTCCGCTATGGTGCTCAGCTGACTTCTGCGCCGCTCAGCCGGGCCACTGCGGAGGAGCAAGCAGCGCAAGCAGCCACTTGGACCTCGCACTCCCCATGCAGCACGGGCCGTCCAGAGGGAACATCCAGCATTTTGGCCTTACAGACTCACAGACACTGGGCTACTATATATGTGATGATGTTTCAAGAGTACAGTTAATTAGTATATGGAGCAGGCTGGGCTGGAGATGTGCCAAGATTTTTATATGACTAACTTCTATCCCCATAGTGTCCAACACACTAGCCACATGTGGCTATTTGGCCAGTTGAGTGTGGCTAGTTTGC